CATAACGAGGGCAGATCTACCATTCGCAACCATTGGAGTCTTCCACATCCATCCTTCACTTCGCCATGGAGCAGCAAAGGAAGATCTTCAGAATGAAATCACGCCGCTCGTGACCTTGTACCGATGCGATGCGATCACCGGAGACGCCAACAAATCGGCGAACACCCACAGCAAACTCCAGCATGTCTACAATCCGACCAACGGTCTCGTGAACATCCTCATGAGAGCATATCAGAGACTGTGGAATGCGACGAAGAATTTGCCACTCGTGGACAGAATGGAGTATGCCATGGAGACTTCGTGCACCCTGAAATCCATTGTCCGTCATCACCTGCACATGAAATGCGGATCAGGTTTTGATCGAACATTCCCAGATGTGATGATGACTATCGTATTTGGACGGGGCAAAACGAACATCCAGCAGGATTTCCGGAAGGTCGAGATGAACGGTATGGTTGATGAACAACTGGAATTCATGCGGAACCATCCAACCAAGGCCATATTCGATTACCAGGTCTCATCCGCAGAGCGCTACAAGCACGTGAACAATGAAATGTTCATGAACGGCTCGCAGGACTCCGACTCCCACAGTCCTCTCATGGTTTACATCCGCAGCAAGTCTGCAACCAGTAAACGCAGCTCTGAGAGATACCAGGATTACGTCAAGAAGACGCAATCATCCTGGACCACGCAGGAGTACCAGGACTACAACAAGCAGTGGGGATATCAGAAGCAGTGGAAGGAGTATAGCACTTCGACCTGGAATGATTATGGAGACCATGGCAGTCAATCCGACAGCAGCCACCGATGGTATCGTCGATCCGACTGACCATGAAGATACGTTCAGCACCACGAACAATCCAGATGATTGATCCTCCTCGTCTACAAGACTATACCGTGAGTGAGAGATCAATAGTTTCACAATTGTTGCGCGTGTACATAGCGTTGTACATCACCCTTTGATACAATTAGGTATCCAAAAAGAAGCGTACATAGTGTTTCCCATTTCGAAGGCCAAGACATTTCATCCAAGCAGAAAAAGGATGAGTTCGGCACTTTTAATCACATGGCTATGGCACACATTAAAGCTACGGTCAAAGGCCATGAAGCCAATAGTATTTCATACTTTGTGCTGGAGATCAAAAGAAATTTGTGTCTGTTTTGCGTTCTGTTTTTCAGACCATTGATATCCCGCAACATTTGGCTCAAGGGCCCCTTTTGCATAATCACGACCATCCGAGCGTGAAGACAAAAGAGCCATTGCAGGCCGCTTGCAGGATTATTCACAAGACAATCCACCAGGGACAATCCATCCTCCAATCATCCATCACTGGCATATTGGAATAGATCCAGGGACCAACAACGACCTCAACTACCACAGGGTTGCAATTCCCTTCGGAGGCACCTGGGCCAGTGGGCCTCACCCCCCCCCTTTACCCCCCCCCCCTGCTTTGGGCCAAATAGGTGGGAAGCTTCCTGAAAGCCTTGGGGAAGCTTCCGGAAGCCTTGCGGAAGCTTCTCGAAGCCTTAGGGAAGCTTCGGGAAAAAGGGGGGGGAGATTGAAACAAGGGTGGTCCCCCCCTCCCCCCCCTTTTTCCCGAAGCTTCCGGAAGCTTCCTCAAGGCTTCCGGAAGCTTCCGCAAGGCTTCCGGAAGCTTCCGCAAGGCTTCCGGAAGCTTCCGGAAGCCTTGCGGAAGCCTTACAAACTTCTGAAGCTTCGGGGGGGCGGACGGGAAGGGCAGGGGACGGGGAAGGAAGGGGTGCGAGGGGGACGAGCGTGAGCGTAGTGGTGGGTGTCATTTTCCAGGGCTTGTCGCGCCGCCAGTCAGTGGGGAACCCTTTGGGAGCCAAATGCTTTAACAGTGTTATAACACTCCAATAGCAGTGCTATAGCATGTCTCAAGGGGGGGGGTAAGGGAGGGGGGAGGGGGGGTTTATGCTTTCTTAAGTCCAGGATGCTTGTTCGCATGGTAAGTGTTGCACTCGTGCGCGCGCGTATGCTTGGTGCAGCTTGTCGGGATGCTTTTCCGCGAGTGCGTAGCAAAGGGATCCCGTTTGTTAGTGGGGGTTTCCGGGTGGTGGTCGATTTCGCGACGTGTTGCTCGTGCGCACCTCCCTAGCTACCTACTTATCTGCCCTCCAACGTGCTGCGCCTGAAAAGAAATCAGCACGTGACCCTCCAAAGTGCTGCGCCCGCCGCGAAATTTGACGAAAGCGCTGTGAAGCGCTGCGCCTGTCACGCAGAAAGAGCTTGAAATGGATTCAACAGCGTTGGAAGTATTGCCCCTGTCACAAAAGCCAACTTTGACACGTTTGCGGCACGTGTCCGAAATTGGCACGGGACTGCGGCGCAATAATGTCTTCGCCCGACTTTGACAAGCTGTAAGCCCGACAACGCGAGCCGAATACGACAGGGCCAACAAAAAGGAATACGCACACAAGCGCTTGCACGCGCCTGCCGTACAAAACGCATCAAAACGACCGCCCATGAGATACAAACCAATGTGGCACGGCGACGCAAACGTGCAGCCTTCCAAAACACTGCGCCACGGCGGGACGACATGCCACGTCGCATGAAACAACATTCATGCACATCGCATATTCTGAGCCTTCGACGGCACGGCCTTAGCGCCACATCGCGGAGGGTCGCGGACGGTTGGGAACAGTTGCGGATGGTTGCAAGCAGCTGCGAGCCCTAAAAGAAAGAAAGCAAGAAATAAAGAAAACGAGAAAAGAAAAGAAAAGACAAGAAAATAAGACAGACCACATAGACATATCGACAACTAACTAGATAGACGAATGTACAGGTTTGACAGGATAGATAAATTTCTCGATAGTTAGATAGAAGCTAGACAAACAGATAGATAGACGGGTAGGTGGATAGTTGTGCAGCTGAGTGGGTTCACAGGTGGATAGGTAGATACGGTCAATAGGCAGCTTGATGGGTAGGCAGAGACATGCACTGATAGTCATGCTACAGTAGCTTCGGGCAATGAATCTGCATTCGGGTTCGCGATGTTGTTCGGCAGGAATGCTTCTGAGCACTACCACTCACTTGGCAGTAGTGTTGGGAAGTCGCGATTGGGATCGTGTTTTGGGCTTTTGGTGGAAGGGGCCGCCTTTAAACGATGAATGCGACGGGCTTTTGTTTGCGAGGAGTGTGCGATGCGGAGCGTGAGCTCCCTGCGCGCCTTTGCCAAGATAATTTGAGAATTTGCTTACGCCTTTGCCAGCCTTGGCATTTTGCCCTTAATTTCTGGAAGGCCTAGCCTGTGCTCGCTAGCCGTGGCCATGCAGCAGTTTATTGGTGCCGCCGGTGGAGCTCAAGAAGGGCCATCAAGAACTCATACAGCCGCTTTGCCAAACTTTGCCTAGCACTTTTGGAAGCCCAGCCAAGCACAAGATGCTGCAGGTGCTGTTCAACAACTTTTTGCTGGCGATTTACGCTGGTAACGATTTTTCTGTTCTTGCTGTGGTGGCACGCCCAGAGGCTCCCGGGATTTGCTTTGTGCTACACATGAGCATGCCTGCTCACGATGCATTCTTCACCGCGTCCTGCAGAGGCCCTGCCAGTTGTGACCACTGCTGCGCTCAGATTCAAAGCAATGGAAGTTCACGCTGCCCTCAGCAGCGGAGCGGCTTGGCCTCACGTCGGCCGCCCCGCAAGAGTCTTGGGGTCTAGTCGCGAGCTTCCAACGGCGAGCTCAGGAGTTGGGCAAGCACTTGCAGTCTGTAGCAGGCGACTCTGGGCAGCTACGGGCTGAGAAGGCAGGCGTGTCGTTCGGGCCCGTCAAATCTACCGCTCTCCGCTGCCAGGCAGCTAATTATACTCTGTCCTCCTGCCTTGGGAGCGAGTCGGAGCTTGAGATGCGCTTGCCACTCCCAGCAGCCAGTGCCAGCCTTTGTGCCGTTCAGAAGCAGAGTTGCATGGCAAGTGTGCCAATTGAAGCCAGAACTCACTTCCCGGGAAACGGCCTGGCCAATGTCATGTGACTGCCGCTGACTGCCTCCCAATGGCACAGGTGCCCGATGGTCAGCAGAAGAAAGCAGAGGGCTGTTGTCCTTCTCAGGTGCTGCGCGGGAGGTGTTCGCGGCGGCTCTGGCCAAGACTTACGCCTCGTTGCTCGAAGACGCCTTGGCTCAGCTTGGGGAGGATGATAGGACACGAATCACGAGTGAGGTGAGCGTGTGAGTTGCGCGGGGAGGGGACTTGGCCGACTTAGCCGACTTCGCTCTGGCAGGAAGAAGCTGCGAAAGCTGGTGATCTTCGACTCGCGGAGGGAGCTCCTGGCCGTGGCGCCGTCGGCGCCGGGGGCGCCGGAGGGTTGGAGAGAGCTGGAGCTGCTGCATGCTGCATCACGCCGGCAGCGGGAGCTCCGGGAGCCTCTCACGGTATGGGCCTGGTCATCCGAAGTCGGTGTCCTTTGCTCGCTGCCTTGGGTCTTCATCGGTGCCTTGCTTCAAGGGGAGGGCATCTGCCCAGGCCGGGCACCTTAGGACCTGGTTTCTGCAGCTCTCTGCCCTCTGCCCTGAGGCTCGCTTCGGAGCGCCCCGGAGCTCGATGCCAAGACTTCTTCCATCAAACGCGACTCGGGAATGCAGTGAAGTCGGGCGGCTGGAAAGGGAAGACGCACGGGTGTCCCGTCGCATTGTGCACCACGAGGCTGCCTGCAAAAGATTTCCGAGCAGCTTTCGCACATGGTTTCTGCAAGTGTATCGTGCCCTGGCTGGGTGTTGGCCACACTTCACGGCCTGCCCTGCAGAGTTTTTGCGTGCCAGCTTTGTGACTAAGGCCATGCACGAAATAGTGTTGAGCAATTGCGCACGAAGGGTTCGGAGAGTCTCTGGCGTCCTTGCTGGCGTGCGTTTTAATGTTGCCGATGCCTACACCTGGGAACCAGGAGGTGGGCTCAGCGCAAGTGACTCTGTAAGCGGGGACGATAAAAGACTGCCGAGGGAGTGGACGGCATCTTGCGTTCGGCCGGAAGCATTTGTCTGAGGCATCGGGCAGCGTCATCATGGCGATTTTCCAGGATGACCAGGAGGTGCATTGGGCATGCAGCCACTGGCTGTTTGTGGAGTTGGCAGGGCCCAAAGTCTTGAGAGGTTTGCGTAAATTGGCTTCCTTGCACAGTTGGCCCAAGCTAGTTTGCCTTTTGGCTGGCCCTGCCGGCTTCATGCTTGCGCGCCTTGGTGGTGAAGTCGCCACAATTGGTTGCCTTTTTCGCGCCTTGCGCCGTTTGCTCCGGACCCAGGTGCTGTTGCCACGCTGCAGCGGCAGCCTCAAGTCTCACACGCTTCAGTCGCAGAGTCCTTCCGCAATAGCGACGCTCGGCCAGGATGGGGAGACGGTCCTAGCAGTGCCAGAGCTGGTGACTTCGGAGGCGACTTTGCCCCCAGACGCCCGGCTGAAGATGTCAGCCACGGCCGCCTCTCGTCACACACGCACATCATGCACATCATGCACATCATGCACATCATGCACATCATGCACATCATGCACATCATACGAGCGCATCTGGAGGACCAAGAAAGATCACCTCTGTCGGTCGTCAAGGACAGAACTGATCAGGGCAAGATGTTCATCGAGCCGTTGGGATTGACCTTGGCTTTCTTTCTCAGGCAGTGTTTTTGCCGCATGGGGCCTCATTGGGCCCACCTGGGGTTTGTACACCACCTCGATTGTGAAGCGCGGACATAGGCTTTGAGCCACAAAGTGCCATAAGGATACTTGACCCGAATGCAAATGCCAGGGGGCCCAAAGACCCAAACTCCTGCAGGTTGTACTAGGCAGATTCTAGAAAGTCTCAGCCGCTCAATTTATGGAACCTGCGGGCGACATCGGGCCACTAGATGCGCATGTCATCTTGCCCTTCGTAACGTTCGCAACTTGGGCAGTTGCTTCCTTGGAGGTTGCGGAGCCAGATGTGGCGGACAAAGCGCAGCCGACCCCAGGCGCTGCGATGCCATGGGCTTGCACTGGATCTTCGAGTGCCTCATCAGGCACGCCCAGTCAAAATACGGAAGGGCGCACCGCAGCTTGGGTGCCCGATCCGCATGTGGCCACGAATTTGGAGCATGTTTTGCACACTTTGCTTTATGTCTAAGGTCAGCTTCACAGTGGCGTTGCAGTACACAAGCGGCCAGAAGCTGGGATTGAGCCTGGACTTGTCTGTTCAGCCCTCAGCGTCAAGAGCACGTGCACCTGGGCTTGCATGCCTTGCCATTGCCCAGGATGAGAAGTATTGTATCGTCAGAGGTGTCGCTCCAGAGGGCCTGGCAGCAGCCTGGAACAAGACTTGTGCCAAGGATCAGGCCTGATTCTTGCAGCCACTCATGTTTTTTTGCGTAAACGAGGCGTTCGGCGGAATCTGCTTGCAGTGTTTGGCTTTGGGCGGCAGGTGGTCGGTGAGTGGCATCGGCTCCAGGCTGTGAATGGCCAACAGGGCAGCTGCCAGGATGCCGTGGGCGTGCGCCGATGCACGCACGCCTCCAATCCCACTTTCCCAATGCGAAATCTCCTGGCCAACAGTCCAATGGGGTGGCCTTTTTAACTTAAGTGTGGCGGAAGGGGCTGCAAGCCCACTTGGTGAACTGTGACTTGTGCAGGAGTTGCTACGAGAGATGCAGAGCACCATTCAAAGCCATGGAGAGCTTGTGCCTTGCCAGCACTGGCTTGCGGTGGATGGTGGACAGAGGGGGGACGCGCGTGAAAGCTGAGCGGTCCGAGAAAGCGCAGGAACTTTCCTTTGAAGCACCAGTCAAGTTCTTTGTCAACATCAAAAAAGAATCTGAAGACTTGGGGATGATGCCTCGGCCTTGGGAATGCCTTGCCTGACACGGTGCATCGTTTTGGGCTTAGTCTGCCGTGTGCAGGTTGGTGGCTAAGAAGAGCTTTGTGGGTGTCAACGGCGTCACCGGTGGTGGAGCAATTCAGGAGCTACGTGCCACTTGCCACATGCCCCACACTGGGGCTCGATGCTCGACACGCGCCGGCTTCTGGCCAGAGGGGCCGCGGCTAGGATCACAACAACTCCGCGCCGGAGGAGAGAAAAGTTGTCATAGCCCCAGATGCCGATTTGCTGTATCTTGCCGTATCTTGCTGTATCTTGCTGTATCTTGCTACGGCCTCACTGAATCACAGCATTTGGCCGAGCTGTGAGGGACCGTCATCGCGGATTGTAGAAGTCAATGGCAGCGCCGCAGCCGGAGAGGCGATGCTGAAGACACCCGGCTCATGAACTCCACTTCGGCTGAAAGATCATGTGTGTCTCGACACGTGGCTTCAGTGCAATGCGAATTGAGGGAGGTGCCAGGGCTGTGGCGGTGTAGGCCCCTTGCCCATAGGTTCTTTGTTTGCAAGTTCAAACTGATTCTTGACGTGGTATCCAAGGACCATGCTTGAAGAGAAGGCACTGTCGACACGAGACCGTATAGTTGCCACATGACATGCTGCTTTCCAGCAAACACCGATCGGAAGAGTTCCGAAGCCGTTTGGGCTCAAGGGGACGGACGGTTTACAGCCACTTGGGCTGTCGTCATGCCTTCTGACCCCACATGCCTCCAAGCACCAGCGTCGATGTCATTTGAGCAGCTTGCCTGATATAGGGCAGAAGTTGGGCCACGCAGCTGGGTCCCACAGCCTTCAAATATATCTTGTCGATCCTGTAGGTCAGCAGTTGCCTTGCTACGTGTCCCTGGCACTTGGTCTGTGTTTGTTTTGTGGCGTCTAGGGCTTCGCGCGAGGTGCAGCATTTCGAGCAACTTGATATCTCACATTGGCATTCACGAGGAGCGTACTTATCAGTTCCCTTTTCCTTGCCCTGCTCCGCACATCCTGCCCCTGCAATCTGTTGGCCCTCTCCAACCGCTTTTCCCTGCCGCCCGAGCATGCACCGCATCCCGGCACCATCCCCACGTCTATCAGCATCCCTAGCAAACCCTGCATCCCCCTTCTGGAATGCAATTTCAACTCCCCAGCGCTCCCTGCATACCCCTCACCCAAGCAATGCCGTGGTGACCTGTTCGTGTCCTGTGTTTATCTTGTCTTGTATTCTTGCATAGTGCTTCACGGACGCATGCTGTTGGGGCCAACCTACTGGGAGCTGGGAGCAGAAGGTCAGAAAGCACGGCCTGTGGACTGACAAGACGGACATCTTGTGTGCGGGCTGCGGGGTCGTCGGAGAGTGGTTATGCTCCGCTCAGCGAAGTTCAGCAAAGGCAGCGTGCACCGGTCGCTACAGGCTGACGCAGCACGTCGTTTCCCGCTCATGACTAACGTGTAGAGATTGCAACTGGTCAAAATGCTCAGGCGCACGTGCTAAGTTTGAACATCCCGGAGAAGGTCAAATTTGCATCCAAGCTTGGAAGAGCCTAAGAACTCTCGAAATAAGACGTGTTAGAGATGCTTGCTGCGCACGATTTTAGGCGGATTGCGTGAACATGCCGCAAGCGCGTGCGACCAGCGCTTGGAAGGGCTGCAGTTTCGTTTTTGCGACTCTAGCATCTTGCTTGCACGTGCCCGTGCTAGTGCCCGCTAGCGGCTGTTTATTTCCCGAGCGCTTGGAGATAGGGACCGCAAGCAGCTGTTTGGCCACTGGAGGGGTGTCAATGTGGTAGGTCTACAGCGGACGTTTCTGCTGCCGCTGCTTTCGGTGCGAAGTCCATCGGTATTGTGGGAAGCCTGGCCGTGCTGCTCAACAACATCCTTGGGCTGTTTGGCTGAAATCGCTTCGTGTGGCACGTGGTTTTTTGGCCACCAAGTACTTCCGGGCAACCTAAAAAGCAAACCCTTCCGCCAGTACTTCCCAGGATGAGGTATTGTTTTTCTCCTGGGGCCGGTTTTTTCTTCAGTCTGGTTCCCTGGCTGGTTGTCGGTCGGTCGGTCGGTGGGTTGGTTGGCCGCATCCCCGGCATTAGCAGCCTCACTTTAGGGCCTAGAGTTGCCTCTTTGCTCTAGTTCGGTGGCAGTTGGCAGTTGCTTGGGGCTAGATTTAATTGGGGGTGGCTTTGGGAACCCCCAAGCCCGCCCAAGTCAACCTGAACTCCACCCAACAGCAGCCCGTCCCCAAACCAGCCCAAGACCCAGCCTCAGCAAGCTCTAAGCCAGCCCAAAGCCACGCCCAATGAAACAATTCCCAACTGCCACGGAATCAGAGCCAATAGGACACCCTAGCTGCAAGTAATGCCGGTGATTCTCGGGATGCGACAAACCAGCTTCCTGTTTTGTGTGGGGTGTTGTTGCTTGTTTTTGTTCTCCGCTGGCCCGCATTCGTGTTGACACTGAGGCCGGGCATTGCAGACTTCTCCGGCTTGTATCAACAAACTGGGTGGCTGATGCCTTCGGTTACAACTCTGGTTTGCGTTGCTTCAAGCATTGCAAGCGGAGCTTCTCAGTTGCAAGCTACAGCAACATGTTTCTTCCTCATTCCACACCGTGAGAGCGAAGCTGCCGCCCAAAGGACATGCTACTGGCAGCTATTCAGTCATACCCTGGAAATGCGGATTTTAATGTCCGGGTGGAGTATGGCACCCTCTGCCGCTTTTTCTTCCCCCGCAGGGTGGCGCACTTTTGCCAGGGCAACTTGTCCGGACTTTGCCAGAACTGGAGCTTTGAGCGAGTGTGCGAGTGTGCGAGAGACAAGAGGAATCTTCCAGCTTGCCATGCTCACCGCGAACATTAGCAACATCGTTCAAACTGCTCAAGTCGGGGCCCTGTGGAGGAGAAGTTGCGAATTGAGCTGACGGGCCGGATTTTGGGTGAGTTGGCATCTCAGGTCTTGGACTACTTCGTAGCCAGCCTCAATCATCATCAGTCCTGTGCCTTGATGTTCTACCCGCACGTAGCCGGAATTTGCACGGAGTCGGAAACCGACATCACGCCGTTTGGACCGGGCAAGATTGTGCTCTCAGTGGGCATGATCCTCGTAGCCGTTCTCAGCATACCTCTTGGATACTACAACCTGGAGGACAACATTATGGTTCAAAATGTGGCCTTGGTAATCATCATCGTGTCGACTCTTTTCGAACAACTACGTGCTATTTTGCCAAGTGATTTAGATTGCTGTCGGCCGATTGTGAGCCTTCTGTATCACGTATCTTGGCTGCAGTGTGGTGTGTCTGAATCCATTGTTAAGGATATGCATTTGGGTTTTCATATTCTGCATGCTGGGAATAGAAGCCGAACGGGTACCAGTGGTGGGTACGTCCTTCCACGACATGGGCGGCACGGTCCTCTTCAACTTTATGTAGCTTTGGCTTAAACAGAGCAGAATTTTGATACCAACAGGGCTTGAGTTGGCCAGGTTCATTTCAACGATTCCTTCTTGGATTTGCGAGAAGAAGCCATCTGCGGCCTGGCTTGCGTCCATTGCCGCCAAGTCTGGGAGACACGGAGACGCTTGCTTCACAGGTGCCTCCACTGCGGGTCATCATAGGCACCCTGTGCATCGCGATCTTGGGCCGCTCTGCACAATTGCCGTGGCACATCTGGGGTCGGGTGTCGTGCCCCGCCGCCAAGGGTACTCGTTGGTGGGCGTGCTCGGCGGAATGGCGTTTGAGCCGTATTACATGACAGACAACACGCTGCTGTCGCAGCTCAACCACATTTCCGACCAGGACTGTGTACCTGCCTAGCGTTGCGTGGCATGAATGCTTGTCGAGAGCCATTGAACCAAAGTTGCTTGTAGCCTGCCGACTGCCGTTGGGCACCAACAAGGTGCAGCCAGTTGACTAAGAGAAGTCTTGGTCAAATAGCAAGTGTGCTGTCGTTGCCTGAATTGGAGTTTTGCTCACGTCAAATAAGAAGCTTGATTCGAAAGGGTGCAGGGTGAGGAAAGCGGTGAAGGGAGCATGAGCTCTAAGTAGCTTAAGACTTGCCCATAGCCAAGTCGGGCTTTGCATCCACCATGGGAATGGCTGCATGCTATCTCCCAACAGCTATAGGCGCGGGCTATTTTTTGCGTGTCGCAAAATTACGAAAGGTTGAGAGTTACTTAGAGCCCCAAGTGAACGAACCAGGCACCAGTGAGGTTACGAGAGGTTGCGATAGAGCACCAACAAGGACCAACGTCGAGTGGCTGTGGCACTAAACGCGTGCCAGGCTTCCAAGTGTGACAAGCACATGTGATGCGCGTTGCACGCTGTCAGAGAAGGCAGGCCGCAGGCATGCGTGAGACGCGAGCGAGCCAGGAAGCCCCGGGCGTGAGGCTTACCGTGCCTGGGCTGAAGCTGTAGCGAGACCTATGAGAGACCTGGGGGCCGGAGTCCTCATGCTGAGGCCTTCGCCAGTGTCCAAGCATACGCGATTTCAGCGAACTTGGCCTCGATCCCGCAGCATGGCGGAAGGTTTTCCTACCAGTCTTGCATCAACTCCAACTCACGCGTTTTCCAAGCAGCTTGGACAGCCTTGTCTCCAAGGATCTTTTCTATTCTCATGAGATACAATTTGATTGAAGCAAAGATTTTGGGAAAGCAGGCAAGGATGCGCGGAGAAACTCATACTCGCTGCAATTCACCAGAATGCGCATGCCCATAGCGGATGAATTGCGTGTCCGCGTGCGTGAGGCAGCTGGTGCTGCCTCTGTGCTTGTCCCCTTCGGGTGCTCCGTGCTGCTTTACACTGGCGAAGGCATGGTCTCTTTTGGGAAGTTCCATTTGACAAGGTGATTTGATACGGAGGTTTCAAAAAAGCAGTGGCCTTCTGCGGCACATTCACCTCGGCCTTCGTGAATTTGATGGTGCCTACTCTTCTCTTCATGGCAGCGATCGCACCTTAATCCGTGTCTTAAAAGTAGCTCCTACGAGAGGGCTTTCCAGTGATCTTACGCATTTGCAAATCACAGAGCATGGGCCAAGGATGCGTACCACCCGGAGCGTTCCACACTGCCGGGAGCTTGGCACTTTTCTTGGCAACATGTTGCAGCAACCGGCCCCCACGCTTACCTGAGGTTCACCTTATGCGACTTGGATCGGGAAATGGGGGTCCCACCCCGATACAACCATGGTGCCCTAGGGCCCAGGAACGGGGCTAGCACGACATAGCACCACAATCCCAGGCAGAGACGCCGCGGCTGCCGTCTGCAAGAGAATGCCTCTTTGCCAGGGGAAGGCCACAGAAGCTCTGGAATGCCATTGCCTGGGTGGCTGGGCAGCACTGAGTCAGAAGTGGCAGGCTGCGCGTCGCCAGAAGGAGCGTGAGTCAAGGTCAACCTTCTGGCCATGGCGGGTTTGACGTTGATAGCAATTGTCGAGCAATTCTGGTGAAAGTGAGCCATTCCGAGATGACTCGGAGGTCTGTACAACGGCTGGCCTGCACGGCTGCGTTTCACCGATGGTAAAGCTTAGTGGATGTTTTGGGTCAGGAGCTTGGCCCATTTGAGGCAAAGGGGCTCCCGGAGTGCTGTACAGGATGCGTTCGTTCGCGAGAGCGCGTTCGTTCAAACAAGTGCCAACCTGGGTGCGAGTGAGATTCTGGTTGGGGGCTGCCAGAGAGACAACTTGTACCTCGGCAGGTGTTTTTTTTTGTGCAACAGCCTGCTTGGAATATGTATACATATAGTAATGCACACACACATACATACATATATATATATATATATAATATGTGTGCACTTTTGCGCAAGTGTTATGGGCCCATGGCTGAGAAGCTGACAGCTCCATGTGCAGGTCTTCAGCCTCACCATCCTCAACTGGTCGTAGACACGAAGCCGTCATGTGCGCTTCAGTGGTCCTTTTTGAGCGAGTCCCGGGATCAAAAGCTACGCCTCTGCCATGCCGAAGGCATTTTTGTCCGAGCGAAGCATTGCGACACTTGCCCAGCCACTCGCAAAGCGAGAGTGCTGCGCGCCTTCGCCCCCTGCCGGGAGCTGGCGCCAGCTCCCGTCACTCGAAGGGTTGCATTGCTTGGAACGGTTCCCGCGCTGAGCGCATTGGCGCATGAGCATCCCTAAGAGGGAGCGATCTCCGCCTCAGATGGAGCATCAGCTGTGCGCAAAGGATGGTCTGATGGTAGCGAGTACGAGGGTGCAGGGGTGCCTTTTGCCAGGGAGCGTGGAACAGCGGCATGGACGGTGTCGGGGCCCAAGAATCGCCTCATTTGCGAAGGGCGGGTGGCACGGCCGTGCCGATGTTCAGGTCTTGCTGCAGTTGGGCTCCGGGATGGCATATGCCCTGAAGTCGACGCCTCAGTCCACAAGCCGATGCCTCACTCAAACCGCAGCGAGGTTCACTGCCATCAAACTGTTGCTTGGTGGCAGCGAGAGTGAGCAGGGTGCTCAGCAGGTCGGCAGGTTAGCGGCACCTTTCAGCAAACTCCACTGGGGCCTCACTTGTAGCTTTTGCATATTTCTGCCATGACGCTGGCTGAAGTTTTTCTGAGAACAAGTGGCTACTCGATTCCACATCAACCGTTTCAAGTCTGTCTTCAGTTTTCTGATCGCTTCCATGGACCTTTGGAGTTTGTGACGTCAGTATACGGTTGGTGCGGTGCAAGGTCGATCCAAAACGCGCAGCGGCCACCATCGAAGGCCCAAGTGGCTTTCCTTTGCAATCCAGCCTGGGCGCCCATTCTGTCTCATTTGGCTCTCTGCAAGCAAGTAGTGCATTTGTCAAGGTCACAGGGCTCATGAGCTATCCTGGCATGCTTAACCACGTGGTTTGGCGAGAGTCTAGAGTGGCCGAATGCAGACTGTGCAAATTGGCTGGGCAAGACGCAGACAGATACTTTGGCAGGCCTGGCATTAGTGCCGCTTGGCAAGGACTGGACTCTGCCCCCTTTTGGTCTCTCACTTGCTGCGTGGGCCTTGAACCTGCCCCAGCCCGGGCCGGGGCAATTTGCAAAGATCAGGTGGCTGCTAGCGCCACGGGAATCCTGGTGTGCTCAGCTCAGCAAGACCCAAAGCAACTCGGTTTTGGCCCTGCTCGGGTCATTCAAGGTTTCAGCTGCAGTTGACACAGTTAACCTCGCCGTTGACTGCTGCGAGCTCAACGATCTCGTGCAACGGGAAGGGTGCCTTGGGCAACTTAGGTTGCAGTGCTGGCCATTTTCCACGACGTAGCCATAGCCAGCGCCCAGGTGCACTGGATGAGTTTGCGCATTGGTGTTGCGCAGGTGCTGTGGTTCTTGTGTGCTGATGGAGAAACGTGACCTGCCTAGTTTAGGGGTACAAGTCTTGTGCGATCTGTGCGTGTGTGTGTGTGTGTGTGTGTGTGTGTCTGTGTGTGTGTGGCTCCCCTGACCAGCCTGGGTTGGACAAAGTGAGGTTTTCGCAGGCACAGCAGTTTGGCTACGCAGCAATGGCCTCGGCATTTGGAACTTTCCAAAGCAACGCCTTTTCTTGCTTTGCTTGCTTGCTGGCTCGCTCGCTTTGGCCTTTCAAGCTGGCAGCAAGCCTTGGCTTGGCTTGAGGCTTTGTTTGAAAATTGGCGACGAAGCCCAGCTTCTAGCCTCACATCCGCTGAACAAACAGCTGGCAACTTGCACATGATCAACCTATCTCTCTGCTTCGCATGGCCAGCGTCGTCTTCTTTGGCCCAGGGCACAGAGGGCCGCGCCCCGTGGCCCTCGGCACTCAGGTTAGCACCGTCGTCACACCCACGCAACCCGGCACACACCGCTTGGCGGCCGCGGGCTTGGCATGTCTCGCCTTGAGCTGCCCGGGCGCCCGGCGCCTCCGCTGGCGGCCGCGTGGGCTGCATGGGCTGCGTGGGCTGCGGGAGAATGCGGAGGGGCCGGCCTTCCCGGTGTGGAGCGCGGGAGAGGAAGAGGCCGCTGCCGTGCAGCAGCTCATCGCTGCTGGGGCCAGAGCCACAGAAGCTAAGTGGACTGGGCTTTGGCGTGTTGCCTACGCCCCGCACATGCGCACTTTGGGCGGCCTCGGCCTGACGAAGTTCGACGTGTACTACGACATTGCACCGTCTGAAGGGGATGCGCAGATCACCTCGTTTGTCCGTTTCGAGGGTCCTCTTTGGCAGGGGTGGCTGAATGCATCGGGTTCTATTTCTAGTCTGGCCAAAGATGAGGTTGAGGTCGTATTCGATGATTTCTGGATTGCCGCCAGGTTGCATGCGGCGATGGTGCCATTCGCCATTCACACTTGGTCACAGAACTGTGCCAAAGTTCTGGTCACCCTGTGCTCGATTTTGGAAGGGGGCTGTGTGAAGCGGGAAGTCGCGGCGCTGTTGGTGGGCTTGCCGATGGAGCTTGGCTCAGCTGAACTGAGGATTTTGGCTGCTTGCCACGCAGAGAAGGTGGTGACGGCTGGGGCGCCCTGGCCAGAGTCTTCTTCTTCCGGGAGCTGAGCCGATTCCCCGTGCGGGCCACAGCTTGTCTTCGAATGGTGTCGTTTCGCAAGCCAATCCCAAGGTCAAAAGTCTGGACACGGCCACAGGCACCACAGCCAGGCGCTGAGGCAAGCCACATTGGCCAAGTGGGAGAGCGCATGTTGTAAGGTCTTCCGCTTTCCGCCGCTGAATGTGGAGATTGCAGCCTGCCTTGTTGGCCCCAGTGGCTCTGAACCGAGGGCCCTTGCTTGATCCTGGCGCTGTCGCAGTGCTTTGGGCGAGCGTGACCTCACCGACAAAAAAGCTCGACTCATGCATATACGTATACATGGGTGGCGAGGCCACGTCACGGGGCATTTTGACAGTCCTTGTTGTTTGTGTTGCGCCTGCCGAGGTTTCAGCCGTTGGCGCTGTCATTTACAGCTGCGCGAAGCTTCGCTCAGGCCTTATCCTCTCGGCAGATCCTCTTGTTCACTGAGAACTGACTGCACTGACTGCACTGACTGCACTGACTGCATGCGTTTTTTTTTTGCGATGCCCCTTGCCAGAGGCTGTAAGGGCACCGCATGCTTCCACCCGCCGAAGCATTCGCCACTGCGCCGTCCCGAGGCTATTCCAGCTTGGCTCCAGAGGACTGCATCCGGCGCCACCGGCGCCCGGCGCCTGGTGAACGGATTCCGCAGGACAACCAGTCCGACATCGACTCGCAAGTGGAGCAAAGCTTCACAATGACGCCGCTCAGTGTCAGGCTCCACTAGGAAGGAACGCTCCAAGGGGGGGTAATCCTTCAGCTCTTCCAACAGTATCAACCATGTGTGATGTGTTAATGTGTAGAAGTCTCTTGCAATGGAGCCTTCTTGGCAGCGCTTGGCGCCAGAAAGGCCCATGATGATTCCATTTCTACGGCATCAAAATCTATGCTTGCTGGGCTCATTGCTTTGGACGGCAAACCACTCAATGCTTTGGATGGTGCCTTGCTATCAGTGCCGGACGGGGCTTTTTGCACTGGGAAGTTGTAATAGAACAACGTATGGGGTGCGGTCTGATTGCCAGCTTGCCTTGCACCTTTCGGCCCTGGAGCTTCGGGCCTTCGTCCGTAGCTCCGATGCAAAGCACGGGGAGGGAGCTGCAGACATGGTCCAACTGAAGGCCCAGATGGCGTTTGGTCAGCGGTGGAAGGCCTCAAGTCCATGGCTATTCTCGGACAGGCAGCACAGGCCTTGCGAACGGCGCTGGCTGCGCCCTCGGCGGTGCTTCTGTTGTTTTGCGCAAATGTGCGGTTCGTGCTTCGTGCAGGTGAATCAGTTCGGGGAGTCCGCCCGCGGCACGGTGGAGGAAGAGGCGCATTGAAAGCTGGCGCAGGCCAAGGCAGCATTTCGCATGTCGCATGAGGTAGGCAGATATCTGGGCCGCTCACAGCCCGGGCCTTACTTGATTGCCCGCTCGCCTCGGAAGCGCATGAATGTGGTATGTGCCGAGCCGATGAGGCAAGTGGTAGTCACTTGCGTGGCTCAAGCAAGGAGATCAAGTAGCAAAAAGAAGCCCAGATTGCAAAGAGGTCAATTGAGCATAGGCTTAATAGGAGTGGGTGATGTCCCCTCTGGGTGGACTTGGTGTCAAAGCGGCAAACAGTCAACATAGCAGGGCTGGAACAGCATCGCCGCAGTCAGAATGAGCTCGCGGTTTGCAAATGGAAGATGCGAGCTGGGAGTTGCATTCGCTCGATGTCGCAGATGCAGACGTCGCGGCCTTAAATCCAAGTGTTGGCGAGGTGGGGGGGTTCAGCAACCGCGGCGGTCCTTATCAGCAGATTGAGGCCTTTGCATTGCGCTCCTCTCTTTGGCAGTGGCGCTGGGCAATGGCTGGCTCCAGCCGTCTTTTCTGGTGGGTCAGGGTCACCGAAGCCCAGAAACAACGGCAAGGAGAGCGATGCTTGTTTGCACCTGGCTTCGCGCTTCACAATTGAGTGCGCGTACCACTGTTCCAGCATGTTTGTGTGCTCGTTGCGCGCGCGCGGTGCGTGCGTGCGTGCGTGCGTGCGTGCCTGCGTGCGTGCCTGCGTGCCTGCGTGCCTGCGTGCCTGCGTGCGTGCGTGCGTGCGTGCGTGCGGGTGTGCGTGTGGGTGTGTGTGTGTGTGAGTGAGTGTGAGTGAGTGAGTGAGTGAGTGAGTGTGAGTGTGTGTGAGTGTGTGAGTGTGTGAGTGTGTGTGAGTGTGTGTGTGTGTGTGTGTGTGTGTGTGTGTGTGTGTGTGTGTGTGTGTGTGTGTGTGTGCGTGTGTGTGTGTGTGCCAGGTCACCATGAGCCTGAACGCCGCCAAGCCTGGACCATTCGAGATTGGCAGCGTCAAGGATACCAACGAGTATTGACGCTATGAGTCCTTCTCCACCCACAATGCTCTGGATCAACCACTTGATGGCTTACACAATCCGGACTTCTCCATCCAGGTCGAAGAACTGGGTTCCCAGCATGGTCTTCGTCAGCAAAACCGCGGAATGATGGATATGTTCACCTACGCCCCGCTCATGTCAGACGTTGCACATCCGTCATCTCTGCACCTTCCGCCGGTCTTCTATGGCGGCATACTTCCTGCTCAACTTGGAGATCCTTCGTCCCCGTCTTCTGAGCGGCGCCGTGCAGAGCGTGCAATTTCTCGTTCTCCCCGCCGCTGTGGATATTGTGGTAGACGTTAGGGAGTTGAGCACGTGGTCTTCCGGATGCAAAAGATAACGCACGGCCCTCGTGGAGGGGTGTGTGTGCGCGGAGTGGCAGAAAACCCTGCCACCAACACTTTTTCTTCAGCAGGGGGCGCCGGGAGTTTCAGCGAGTCCTGCGCCAACGAAGACGCTCGCTGTTAACTCGTGATATCCAGCCTGATCAGCTGGACGTACCTGCAATTGTTTGCTTCTGTGTGTCCCTGTTAAAGTGGCTACAGGGAAGCCAAGTGCATTGCGAGCCGAAACTCATCGTACTCGAGACGTATCAGTTGTACTGGAGACTCATCAGTTGTACTCGAGACTCATCAGTTGTACTCGAATGATTAGCACCCTCCCTTGGGAGTTGAAACTTGCTCAGAGCACTTGCGCAGAGCAACTTGCACAGAGCACTTGCGTGCAGCAGCGTGCAGCAGCTTGCAGAGAGCAACTTGCGCGCAGCAGCCTGGAACAATGCAGCTTGCGCAGACCACTTTCGTGAGAAATCGCGCGGCGCAGTTCGAGAGGAAAGTAGGATGATGAGATGGAGCTCTCATGTGACCATACACACTGAGCATCGCCGCGCGCAGACACGCTCGCCGCACCGATGTAAAAAGGTGTCTCCGCGGCTGGATGAGCGCCTGTGGAAAAATGCTTTCGGGCCAATCGTCCTCTAGTTTTTTCGATTCGAGCAATCCCCACCCTCCACACTCACGAGCTTGCGACCGTTACAACAAATTCCTCCGCATCCTAGAGATTTCGACTCCAAATTCCCATCGGCCCCTTCCCAATGAGATTTTGCCGCGCAAGAATGGCAAAGCACTGCCTCAAGCCCATTTCAAGCTTATTGGCGAGCAACAACTACTTGCACATGGCTGATCACGGCGGCAAGGCACCAGGGTTATGCATCTGCAGAAGCCACCGCCAGCCCCGCGCTCTGCAGAGCACATCACTGCAGGTCACCAAAAACCGCTTGTGTATGGCTGCGATGCGCAAGAGCATGCAGCCAGCCACCTCTGCGAGCTGTAAAAGCTGGCAGCGCGCGCCCTGCAACTTGAGCTCAGGGCATGCTTGGCTGGTCATCATCTGGATTCTGTGCACAACACAGCAAGAAGAATGGTGCGAAGTTCGTTCACAGAGCGTGGTGCGCCGCGCAAGCACACAAAGACGAAGTTGCTTATTCACAACCCAATACAACACAAAAGCATCACCCTTTCCGAGCCTCAGCGTACACTCAAAACACGAAGGCGCCAACATGAAATGCAAACCCAACTGTGCGGCGGGCGGGACATTATGCAAAACCAGAGCTGCTCTGGCGGGATACTGGCGGAATCCACTCGCGAATGCTGGCGAGCCGCTCCGGCTCGATACTGGCCGGATCACCGGCAAGGGATTCTCAGCGGGATACTCGGCGGGATCCCACTGGCGAGCTCTGGGATACTCAGCGGGATGCTTGGCGGGATCCACAGGCGGCTGCTCTGCTGGAATGCTCGGCGGGATCCACTTGCGAGCTGCTCTGGCGGGATACTCGGCGGGATCTACTGGCAAGCCGCTCTGCCGGGACTCGGCGGGATCGGCGGGATCCACTGGCCAGCTGCTCCGGCGGGATACTCGGCGGGATCGAGCCACTCTGGCGGGATACTCGGTAGGATCCACTGGCGAGCCGCTTTGGCGGGATACTCGGCGAAATCCACTGACAAGCCGCTCTGGGGGGATACTTGACGGGATCCACTGGTGAGCAGCTCTGGCGAGACTGGGCGGGATCCACTGGCGAGCTGCTCTGGCGGGATACTCGGCGGGATCTACTGGCAAGCCGCTCTGCCGGGACTCGGCGGGATCGGCGGGATCCACTGGCCAGCTGCTCCGGCGGGATACTCGGCGGGATCCACTGGCGAGCCACTCTGGCGGGATACTCGGTAGGATCCACTGGCGAGCCGCTTTGGCGGGATACTCGGCGAAATCCACTGACAAGCCGCTCTGGGGGGATACTTGACGGGATCCACTGGTGAGCAGCTCTGGCGAGACTGGGCGGGATCCACTGGCGAGCTGCTCTGGCGGGATACTCGGCGGGATCCACTGGCGAGCTGCTCTGGCGGGATACTGGGTGGGTGGGGGCGTGGTGTAGAAGCATCGCAAACGCGGATTCCACGACAACCCCTTCCTGTCGGGTGGGGAACAAACACAAAGAACAACCTAACAAATAAGCAAAGAAAACAGACACACGCTTGCACGAGCGCATCTTTGCGTCGGCAGTCCTGCCACTACCTAGTGATGAGTCTCGAAAATGCAGTAGGTCTGGCACATATGTGGGTTGCTCTTCTCACCTGAGCAGCTGGTCTAAGTTCGATGGAAACGCCCAGCCTGCACTCACTAGGTCGAGGAAGGATCCCCCTCACATTTTCAAGTGGAGCAGTGACAGCCTTGAAAGCACTGCACCGCAAAAGGCAGGAGCAAAACACCACGAGGCGCTGCTCCCCCCGGGCTCGACAGCACTTGCGACGTGGGAGGTGTGAGACCGGGCTGATGTCAAAGGCTTTGCACGCGCAAGGCTCAGGTTCTGCGCGCGGGAGCTATCTGACAACAAAGGCTCTGCAGGCGCAAGGCTCGATTCTTTCAAGCTGCATGGGCACAGGCACCCACATCAGCACCTCTGCAAACATATGCCACGCTGATGGGCGTGGCTTATACACGGCCATCTGCATTTGTAATATTCAGTTTGAAGAGACTGCGTCATGTTCGCGCGGACCCTCTGAGCCAGAAAAACAGGAGCGCTGCTCCTTTCGAGGAGCTCTCCCACTGTGGGCGTTTGTGTTTGCACGACGTGGCGCCCGGCTGCAGCGAAGGCAGGGGCAGCAATGGGAAGCTATTCGCTCCAAGTCATCTTGTCTGAGACTGAGAATCGCAGGGCCGAAGCTGAGTGGGTAAACTTTATCAGCTGAAGCGTGTTGCCTAACCCGCAGAGCCTGCGGGGACCCTCGAGCAAACCAACCAACAAACAACTACCAACAAGCAAGAACCAAGAACCAAGAACCAACAACCCACAACAAACAACCAACACCCAGCCCAACACCCAACAACCAACAACCAACACCCAACAACCAAAAACCAACACCCAGCAACCAACAGCCAACAACCCATCAACCAACACTCGCAACAACCACCACAACCAACAAAAGCCAACAACCCACAACCAACACACGCAACAACCACCAAAACAACAACAGCAACAGCAACAGCAACAGCAACCACAACAACAACAGCAACAGCAACAGCAACAGCAACAGCAACCACAACGACAACGACAACGACAACGACAACGACAACGACAACGACAACGACAACGACAACAACAACAACAACAACAACCACAACCACAACCACAACCACAACCACAACCACAACCACAACCACAACAATAACAACAACAACAACAACAACAACAACAACAACAACAACAACAACAACACCAACACCAACACCAACAACAACAACAACAACAACAACAACAACAACAACAACAACACCAACACCAACACCAACACCAACACCAACAACACAACACCCCAACACCCAACAACCAACAACACCAACAACCAACACCAACACCAACACCAACACACAACACAACAACACACACACACCAACACAACAAACACCAACACCAACACCAACACCACACCAACAACCAACACCAACACCAACACCAACAGCCCCGCAACACCAACACAACACAACAACACAGCACCACACCAAACAACCAACAAACACAACACCAACAACAACACCACAACAACAACAACAACCAACAACACAACAAGCAACAGCAACAGCAACAGCAACAGCAACAAGACCACAAGAACAAGAACAAGAACAACAACAAGAACAAGAACAATAACAAGAACAAGAACAACAACAACAACAAGAACAAGAACCACAACAACCACAACAACCACAACAACCACAACAACCACAACAACCACAACAACCACAACCACAACGACAACCACAAACAACAACGAACAGCGAACAGCGAACAACGAACAGCGAACAACCAACAACAAACAACCAACAAACAACCAACAAACAATCAACAAACAAACAATCAACAAAGAACCAACAAACGAGGCATTGCAGGGCAAGCAGCAGAACGCGTTGTCAGAAGAAAGCAAGAGCCGCACCAGCGTCTGTAAGTGTTGCGCAGGCCCCTTGAAGAAAACCGCTGCTAGAAAGCGATTGGC